GGAGCTTTGCAGCTCCTTCAGGGTTATCTTTGGTCTCTGAGTTTTGGTCCGTGAGTTTTGGTGGGTGGCCCTCTCTTGGCAGGTTTGTTGTGGTGCCATATTCTTTCCATTTTTTAATAATGGATTTAATGGTGCTCCGTGGGATGTTCAAAGTTTCAGATATTGTTTTATAACCCAACCCTGATCTGTACTTCTCCACAACTTTGTCCCTGACCTGTTTGGAGAGCTCCTTGGTCTTCATGGTGCCCCTTGCTTAGTGGTGTTGCAGACTCTGGGGCCTTTCAGAACAGGTGTATACAGTGGGAGAAAAAAGTATTTAGTCAGCCACCAATTGTGCAAGTTCTCCCACTTAAAAAGATGAGAGAGGCCTGTAATTTTCATCATAGGTACACGTCAACTATGACAGACATATTGAGAAAAATAAATCCAGAAAATCACATTGTAGGATATTTAATGAATTTATTTGCAGATTATGGTGGAAAATAAGTATTTGGTCACCTACAAACAAGCAAGATTTCTGGCTCTCACAGACCTGTAACTTCTTCTTTAAGAGGCTCCTCTGTCCTCCACTCGTTACCTGTATTAATGGCACCTGTTTGAACTTGTTATCAGTATAAAAGACACCTGTCCACAACCTCAAACAGTCACACTCCAAACTCCACTATGGCCAAGACCAAAGAGCTGTCAAAGGACACCAGAAACAAAATGGTAGACCTGCACCAGGCTGGGAAGACTGAATCTGCAATAGGTAAGCAGCTTGGTTTGAAGAAATCAACTGTGGGAGCAATTATTAGGAAATGGAAGACATACAAGACCACTGATAATCTCCCTCGATCTGGGGCTCCACGCAAGATCTCACCCCGTTGGGTCAAAATGATCACAAGAACGGTGAGCAAAAATCCCAGAACCACACGGGGGGACCTAGTGAATGACCTGCAGAGAGCTGGGACCAAAGTAACAAAGCCTACCATCAGTAACACACTACGCCGCCAGGGACTCAAATCCTGCAGTGCAGACGTGTCCCCCTGCTTAAGCCAGTACATGTCCAGGCCCGTCTGAAGTTTGCTAGAGTGCATTTGGATGATCCAGAAGAGGATTGGGAGAATGTCATATGGTCAGATGAAACCAAAATATAACTTTTTGGTAAAAACTCAACTCGTTGTGTTTGGAGGACAAAGAATGCTGAGTTGCATCCAAAGAACACCATACCTACTGTGAAGCATGGGGGTGGAAACATCATGCTTTGGGGCAGTTTTTCTGCAAAGGGACCAGGACGACTGATCCGTGTAAAGGAAAGAATGAATGGGGCCATGTATCGTGAGATTTTGAGTGAAAACCTCCTTCCATCAGCAAGGGCATTGAAGATGAATCGTGGCTGGGTCTTTCAGCATGACAATGATCCCAAACACACCGCCCGGGCAACGAAGGAGTGGCTTCGTAAGAAGCATTTCAAGGTCCTGGAGTGGCCTAGCCAGTCTCCAGATCTCAACCCCATAGAAAATCTTTGGAGGGAGTTGAAAATCCGTGTTGCCCAGCGACAGCCCCAAAACATCACTGCTCTAGAGGAGATCTGCATGGAGGAATGGGCCAAAATACCAGCAACAGTGTGTGAAAACCTTGTGAAGATTTACAGAAAACGTTTGACCTGTGTCATTGCCAACAAAGGGTATATAACAAAGTATTGAGAAACTTTTGTTATTGACCAAATACTTATTTTCCACCATCATTTGCAAATAAATTCATAAAAAATCCTACAATGTGATTTTCTGGATTTTTTCCCCTCATTTTGTCTGTCATAGTTGACGTGTACCTATGATGAAAATTACAGGCCTCTCTCATCTTTTTAAGTGGGAGAACTTGCACAATTGGTGGCTGACTAAATACTTTTTTCCCCCACTGTATATACTGATCTCATGTGACTTTATTTAACTAATTATGTGACTTCTGAAGGTAATTGGTTGCACCAGATCTTATTTAGGGGCTTCATAGCAAAGGGGGTGAATACATATGCACGCACCACTTTTCCGTTATTTATTTTTCAGAATTTTTTGAAACAAGCAATTTTTTTCATTTCACTTCTATTTTGAAATGACTATTTTGTGTATGTCCATTACATGAAATCCAAATAAAAATCAATTTAAATTACAGGTTGTGACGCAACAGAATAGAAAAACGCCAAGGGGGATGAATACTTTTGCAAGGCACTGTATTGCTACACCATCCAACGTGTAATTAATAACTTCACCATGCTCAAAGGGATATTCAATGTCTGTTTTTTAGTTTTATTCATCTACCAAGATGCCCTTCTTTGTGAGGCATTGGAAAACCTCCCTGGTCTTTGTGGTTGAATCTGTGTTTGAAATTCACTGTTCGACTGAGGGATCTTACAGATAATTGTATGTGTGGGGTACAGCGATGAGGTAGTCATTCAAAAATCATGTTAAACACTATTATTACACACAGAGTGAGTCCATGCAAGTTATTATGTGACTTGTTAAGCACATTGTTACTCCTGAATTTATTTAGGCTTGCCATAACAAGGGCTTGAATACTTACTGACTCAAGACATTTCAGCTATTCAGTTGTAATTAATTTTACTAAACACATAATTCCACTTTGACATTATGGGGTATTGTGTGTAGGCCAGTGACACTACATCTCAATTTAATCCATTTTAAATTCAGGCTGTAACACAACAAAATGTGGAAAAAGTCAAGGGGTGTAAATACTTTCTGAAGGCAGTGTAGGTGTATTTGAGGATATGTATGCCACGACAATGAGTGACAAGGAGTTGACATGATGGCACAAACAGATTGGCACTTAGTAGTATAATGACGAAAGGATGTAGGAAGTAGCCTAGCCATGTTAAATCAAGAGGAAACCTGTTCTGTTCTGTAGTATTAGCAGTGCTGAAACACAACTCCTGTATCCCCCCTTCTCTCCTCTGTTCCTCTCCTCCTCTTCCTCCCCCTCCCCTCCTGTATCCCCCCTTCTCTCCTCTGTTCCTCTCCTCCTCTCCCTCCCCCTCCCCTCCTGTATCCCCACTTCTCTCCTCTCCTCCCTCTCCCATATATCGCCCTCTATCCTCTCTTTTCCCCCCTCCCCCCTCAGTGCTGGGCTCTGTAAGTGGACTGATTGATCTGGAACTAATGCTAGCCAATGCAATGAGCCCCAGCACCTGTATATCGCTAGTTTGGGTGTTGGACATTTGTGTAAGGTCTGTTAGCACTAGCCTGAGCCCTATAGCAGTAGGCTACCACCCAATCAAATGGACATGTTTGTGTGGTCTCTCTCTCTTATTTATTTATGATTAATCATGCTTAATAAAACCTGGTTGCATGTCACAATAATCTGTTCCAAAATAGCATCCATGAGGATCATTCAATCTGAAGCATACAGAAACATCTTGTGAGTCAGTACTATGAGAGAATGTAAGGTCAGCAACATGGAGGGAGAGCAGCAGAGCAGAGCTCATATTTCTACCACAGTTGCCCACTAACGATTTGCACAGTAACCCAGTTTAAACAGTTTGCATCAATGATAAACATACCATTGCACTGTTACGATTCAGATCCAATTTGTAAGATCCAATGTGCCTTGGGCTCCGGGCTGAAGTTTCCCCTAGGTACATATCAATGATCAGCTTCCTCTCCACCTATCCTAACCTTAACCATAAATGGGGAAAATGCCAAACTGACACAAGACCGGCATCTATGGGCAACTTCATCCTACACCACGGTTTGGATTGGCCAGGCTGATCAACCTCCTGTTAGGCATGTTTCTCAGCTTTGCAGTGCCCTGCCTTACAGCCTGCCTTAATGAATCCCTTAACTCTGCATATCCTTGGAGCCAGCCAAAGAGGGCATTGGCTACGTCCCAAATGGCACCCTTTATAGTGCACTACGTTTGACCAGGGTCAATAGGGCTTCATAGTGCACTATGTAGGGAATAGTGTGCCATTTGAGATGCAGACATCCATTTTCCCTGCATTAGGAAGGAGGTGTGAGAGAGATTCTTCCCTCTGAAAAGAGGCCGAACACGATGTGAGGTATCGGCCTCTTTCCCCCTCTCTCCTCTTCATCCATCAGGCGAAAGATGTAAAAAATGCAATCAATACGGAGAGAAGAGAGAGGGATCGTTAGTCATTAGCGGGCCTAGTTCGAGACTGAAGACCTGAGCATATGAGAAAAGGACTAATTGGAACGCATTGTTAGAAACGGGCATCATTAAGGTGACCTCTCAACTTTTATCAAATAGCGTAGCTCAGAAAAGCGTGTTGGACCGCAGACCTGAGACCCTGGAGGGGGTTTGAAACATGTATGGCCACGGCTCCGTTGACCCATATCAGGGGTTCTCAAACCTCTCCTCGGGGACTCCCAGACATTCCATGTATTTTAACTATTCCAAAGCTAGCACACCTGATTCAAATTGTAATTTGCCCTTGACTAGGTGAATCAGGTGAATTAATTCAGGGCTACAACAAAATTGTGAAACGTCTGGTGGTCCCCGAGGAGAGGTTTGAGAACCACTGACCTACGTGATCTTTATGAAGAATGGTTCACATACTGTATACCCCGTTAACACAGTAGGTTGACCTATGTGATCTTTATGAAGGATGGTTCGCATATAACCCATTAATGCACTAGGTTGACCAATGTGTTCTTTATGAAGGATGGTTCACATATAACCCATTATCAAATTAGGCAAGGCTGCTGCTATCATGGCTACTGATCGCAGTGTACTAGCTAAAAATAGTCCACTTCAAGATGATTATGTGTATTGAGGTTAAAGGATATCAAAGATATAGGTAGGATATCTAAGGACATCATCTTTTAGCTAACATAAATAAATGCATTTTATCCCCTTTACAGGAAATCCTCTTGTTGATTGAGTTTCTGGGTAAAGTTCAACAGAGACATACAATACTGACTGAATAGTTCATTCTTACAGTGAGCAGAGAAACCCAAGCTATTAACAGATGACAATAAAGCCAAAGGGACTTACTCTAATAGTTCATAGTTAGATTTTTTGTCCAGGGCATTTCCCCGCATCTCCCGGAAGAATCTCCTGTAAGGGAAACATGTCTTGGTGAGTGGGGGGTCAATGAGAACTGCAACAACATGGAAGCTATCTACCATTCATGAGAGAACAGAACATTTGACCAATCTTGGATAACTGTGAACTGACCTGATTTCAAGGCATCCCAACTTAAGTGCAATGTCTTGCTCAACCTGATCCGCTATCTCCACCATGTAGTCATTTTTCACCTGAAAGACAGAACCAAAGATATGTTCTCATATTATTAAAACATGTTTTACATACTATTGCCCCATTGCGCTAGTATTTATGTTTTGTACTGTGCATATGAACTACAAACTTTGATTTGGTTTAGAATGGGAGACCAGAATACTGCAACCAACATCACAATGACAGGTGGCTTTAGCGTATCAGTGCTTGACTTTCTGGTATAGAAAAACTAAAGACTAGCTGGTGACCTGGGCCCACATTCACAAAACACTTCCCACGCAAAAACCTAAGAAGAAAAAAAATAACAAGTTCATAAGATGGTTAGTAAGTGCAATTCCTCAACAATATATTAAGATTTCATGATTTTCTTACAAACTTCTCAAATATCTTCTTACAAACTTCTTAAGATAGGCAACCGTTTTAGCTAGCTATCTTGCTAGCAATGGCAATAATGTTAGCATATTTCGTACTGAGATTACTGTTCTAAAACATGTTCTTGAGAACACAATGACTTCTAGAGGGAGGGGTAGAACACACTGACTTCTAGAAGGAGGGGTAGAACACACTGACTTCTAGAGGGAGGGGTAGAACACGCTGACTTCTAGAGGGAGGGGTAGAACACGCTGACTTCTAGAGGGAGGGGTAGAACACACCGACTTCTATATGGAGGGGTAGAACACACTGATTTCTAGAGGGAGGGGTAGAACACACTGACTTCTAGAGGGAGGGGTAGAACACACTGACTTCTAGAGGGAGGGGTAGAACACACTGACTTCTAGAAGGAGGGGTAGAACACACTGACTTCTAGAGGGAGGGGTAGAACACGCTGACTTCTAGAGGGAGGGGTAGAACACACTGACTTCTAGAGGGAGGGGTAGAACACAGGGGACAAAGGCATTGAGGGGGACCTTACTGCTATACAGCTCTTTAACAAAGACTCCATCCATCCCTCCCTCCCGAGAGAGACAGAAAGACAGACAGCGTGAGAGAGACAGACAGCGGCAGAGAGACATTAAATCTTATCACCCATAATAACAGCCCATAAGAACCTGATGGTGATCTTGGTTGATAAAGGCTTGGTGGGTGTTTGCTTCTGAATGATAGCTAGCACTGTTTGATGGGCTATTATGTCCTCTCTGAATGTCCCATTTGTCATGTTAAGTGCCGGCTCTCACCAATAGAGACATTGAGTCTCTGCCACTTTAGATCACAGACATTGGAAACAAAACCTGGTTCCTCTCAGCTGGCACTCAGCAAAACCCTGACAGAAAAAAAGAAGAAACTCGCACACTGCTCTTGCTAGTATCACTGATCTTGCTAGTATCACTGCTCTCAAAAAGCTCTGACGAAGGCCTTGAGGCCGATACGTAAAGCTTAATAAAGAGCAGTGATACTATCAAGAGCAGTGTGCGGGTTTCTTATTTTTTCTCAGGTTATTCAACTGTTACTATGCACCTGCAACAAAGATAGCTCAGATATGCGAGTGCCTTTTTATTTTTAAAACCATGAGATTAAAACTGTAAAAAAAATATTTAAAAAAATATATATAAGTGAACCCAAATGTTTTCCGCTGCTGTAAAAATTGCCTCTTTTCTCCCCCGTCTTCCCCAGAGCGCCAGACACCAGGCAGAGCCCCCGTAGGCCCACTGACCCAGTTCACCTCTCTGCCTCGACAGCCCCGCAGGTGGCTACACACCGTGTGTTACGCCCCCTTATACCTCCCCCCTCCTGAACCCATACACTCCCACACACAGTAAAGCCTTGGATCCCTCAGACACACACACACACACACACACACACACACACACACACACACACTTAGAAGTGCTATATGCCTCCGCCTGCGGTTACAGTGTTGTTGAATAAATAGGCCTAGCCAAGTATGTTTTGAAATAGCGTGGTCAATGGCCTGTTAGGCTGTGTCTCTGTTAATCAACTCCCATGGATAATGTGTTGGGGTGTGTGGGTTTTAGGGCTGTCAGAGTTCATCAGTAAACTTGAGTTAGCGTTTTGTAATTTCAGTGCACTCATTTTTTTTATAGCGATTAATCACATTGTCTGAAAGCATTCAAAATACACTGAAAACATCCCAAATATATAACCTGTACAGCTAAAAACAACAATGGGATGTCAAAGTTGAAATTGAGGTTAAAGAAAGTGTGCTTTACTAATTCACCTGATCTCACTAAGGTTACTTTCAACAAAATCAAGACATCAATATTCTTGTAATGCTTTTTGTATAAAAAAATCTTAAATTACAGCTCAATTTGAGCAAATTCTGAATTTGCGATTAATCACAGCAAATCCTGTGATTAACTTGATTACATTATTTTATCGTTTGAGTCCTAGTGTCTGTCTCACCTGCTGGTAGAAGTAGTTGAGTGTGGGTTTGTCTTCACTGAAGTGGTGCAGGAATCCTTTTGGAAGGTAGCGAATACGCAGCTCATATCTGGAGAGGAGGAGAGGAGGAATGTGTCACTGTTTAGACAAAACACAGATGCATGTAACACACAAGGGATCAGGGGTTTTCTACTCTAAGCTCTTCTAGTCACAGAGCTACACTAGACACCAGTCTTCTGGTCACAGAGCTACACTAGACACCAGTCTTCTGGTCACAGAGCTACACTAGACACCAGTCTTCTAGTCACAGAGCTACACTAGACACCTGTCTTCTAGTCACAGAGCTACACTAGACACCAGTCTTCTAGCCACAGAGCTACACTAGACACCTGTCTTCTAGCCACAGAGCTACACTAGACACCTGTCTTCTAGTCACAGAGCTACACTAGACACCTGTCTTCTAGTCACAGAGCTACACTAGACAACATTATTCTAGTCACAGAGCTACACTAGACACCAGTATTCTAGTCACAGAGCTACACTAGACACCAGTCATCTAGTCACAGAGCTACACTAACACCAGTCTTCTAGTCACAGAACTACAGTAGACACCAGTCTTCTAGTCACAGAGCTACAGTAGACACCAGTCTTCTAGTCACAGAGCTACACTAGACACCTGTCTTCTAGTCACAGAGCTACACTAGACACCTGTCTTCTAGTCACAGAGCTACACTAGACAACATCATTCTAATCACAGAGCTACACTAGACACCAGTATTCTAGTCACAGAGCTACACTAGACACCAGTCATCTAGTCACAGAGCTACACTAACACCAGTCTTCTAGTCACAGAACTACAGTAGACAACATTATTCTAGTCACAGAGCTACAGTAGACACCAGTCTTCTAGTCACAGAGCTACAGTAGACACCAGTCTTCTAGTCACAGAGCTACACTAGACACCTGTCTTCTAGTCACAGAGCTACACTAGACACCTGTCTTCTAGTCACAGAGCTACACTAGACAACATCATTCTAATCACAGAGCTACACTAGACACCAGTATTCTAGTCACAGAGCTACACTAGACACCAGTCATCTAGTCACAGAGCTACACTAACACCAGTCTTCTAGTCACAGAACTACAGTAGACAACATTATTCTAGTCACAGAGCTACAGTAGACACCAGTCTTCTAGTCACAGAGCTACAGTAGACACCAGTCTTCTAGTCACAGAGCTACACTAGACACCTGTCTTCTAGTCACAGAGCTACACTAGACACCTGTCTTCTAGTCACAGAGCTACACTAGACACCAGTCTTCTAGTCACAGAGCTACACTAGACACCAGTCTTCTAGTCACAGAACGACAGTAGACACCAGTCTTCTAGTCACAGAGCTACACTAGACACCAGTCTTCTAGTCACAGAACGACAGTAGACACCAGTCTTCTAGTCACAGAACTACAGTAGACAACATTCTTCTAGTCACAGAGCTACACTAGATACCAGTCTTCTAGTCACAGAGCTACAGTAGACACCAGTCTTCTTGTCACAGAGTTACAGTAGACAACAGTAGATAACATGGCTATATACATGGGGTACCAGTACCGAGTCGATGTGCAGGGGAACAAGGTTATTGAGGTAGATACTGTATGTACATATAGGTAGGGATAAAGTGACATATGGTAAACAGTAGCAGCAGCGTATGTGATGAGTAAAAAACAAATTGTGCAAAAAGGGTCAATGCAGATAGTTAAATAGTTAACCAAATAGCTACCCGGACTAACTATGTAGCAGTCTAATGGCTTGGGGGTAGAAGCTGTTTAGGGTCCTGTTGGTTCCATACTTGGTGCATCGGTACCGCTTGCTATGCGGTAGCAGAGGGAACAGTCTATGACTTGGGTGGCTGGAGTCTTTGACCATTTTTAGGGCCTTCCTCTGACACCGCCTGGTATAGAGGTCCTGGATGGCAGGGAGCTCGGCCCCAGTGATGTACTGGGTCGTACGCACTACCCTCTGTAGCGCCTTGCAGTCGGATGCCAAGTGTTGCCATACCAAGCAGTGATGCAGCCAGTCAAGATGCTCTCAATGGTGCAGCTGTATAACTTTTTGAGGATCTGAGGGCCCATGCCAAATTCTTTCAGCCTCATGAGGGAGAAGAGGTGTTGTCGTGCCCTCTTCACCACTGTGTTGGTGTATGTGGACCATGATAATTCCTTAGTTATGTGGACACAGAGGAACTTGAAGCTCTTGACCCGCTCCACTTCAGTCCCGTCGATGTGAATGGGGGAGTGCTCGGCCCTCCGTTTCCTGTAGTCCACGATCATCTCCTGTGTGGCCCCCGTCGTGAGGGTCAGCATGGCGGATGTGTTGTTGCCTACCCTCACCACCTGGGGGCATCCCATCAGCAAGTCAAGGATCCAGTTTCAGAGGGAGGTGTTCAGTCCCAGGGTCCTTAGCTTAGTGAAGAGCTTGCAGGGTTCTACGGTGTTGAATGCTGAGTTGTAGTCAATGAACAGCATTCTCACAGGGTGGCAGGTAGCCTAGCAGTTAGTGCATTGGGCTAGTAATCAAAAGGTTGCTGGTTCGAATCCCGGATCCGACTAGGTGAAAAATATGCTGATGTGCCCTTGAGCAAGGCACTTAACCCTATTTGCTCCTGTATAATAGCGTCTGCTAAATGACTAAAATGAAAATGTGTTCCTTTTGTCCAAGTGGTAAAGGATAGTGTGGAGTGCAATAGAGATCGGGTCATCTGTGGATCTGTTGGGGCGGATTGTGAATTGGAGTGGGTCCGGGGTGTCTGGGATGATGGTGTTGATGTGAGCCATGACCACCCTTTCAAAGCATTTCATGGCTACAGATGTGTGCTACGGGCGATAGTCATTTAGACAGGTTACCTTGGCGTTCTTGGGCACAGGGACTATGGTGGTCTGATTGAAACATGTAGGTATTACAGACTGTGTCGGGGAGAGGTTGAAAACACTTGCCAGTTGGTCAGTGCATGCTCTGAGCACGCGTCCAGGTAATCCATCAGGCCTTGCGGCCTTGTGAATGTTAACCTGTTTAAAAGGTCTTACTCACATCGGCTACGAAGAGCGTGATCGTACAGTTGTCCGGAACAGCTGGTGCTCTCATGCATGGTTCAGTGTTGCTTGCCTTAAAGTGAGCATATAATGCATTTCGCTCGTCTGGTAGGCTCGCGTGCGTCACTGGGCAGCTTGCGGCTGGGTTTCCCTTTGTAATCCATGATAGTTTGCAAACCCTGCCACATCCGACGAGCATCAGAGCCGGTGTAGTAGGATTAGATCTTGGTCCTGTATTGTCGCTTTGCCTGTTTGATGGTTCGTCGGAGAGTGCAACGGGATATCTTATAAGTGTCCGGGTTAGTGTCCCGCCCATTGAAAGCGGCAGCTCTAGCCTTTAGCTCAGTGCTGATCTTGCCTGTAATCCATGGCTTCTGGTTGGGATACAGTGCCTTCAGAAAGTATTCATATCCCTTGACTTATTCCAAAACATTTTGTGTTACAGCCTGAATTCAAAATGGATTAAATTATACTTTTTTCTCACTCATCTACACACATAAAGACTAAATGAAAACATGTTT